TATATATATATATATATATATATATATATATATATATATATATATATATATATATATATATATATATATATATATATATATATATATAAATGATTTAATTAAATTGTAATGGTACTAAGGCAGGACTCGATATGCCACCCTTATTAACTATTTGACATATCGGGTTCTGCCTTAGTACCACAGCAGATAATACGCGTAAAGGTTAAGAACATAGTGGAGCGACGAGGGTAGCGGCGAGCAAGCAGCGCGATACCGCGTCGAGCAAGCCTCGAGGTGCTGAAACATGGTAGAGTGGCGAGGAATAGCGAGATACATGTGCAAATTGTGCAAATTTATTATTTTCATTTGCTTATTGATAATTTAAAATGTGAACAGTGGCTACAATTTTGGGCAGTAATCTATCATTTTTTACAGCGCGACAAAGCGACGAAAACAAAATTATTTGAATCGATCTCGCCGCTCGATCTAACCGCTCGAGCAGATCGCTTTATTATGTTCACACGTACTTGTCATCACAGGTTTGTTTTGGACACGATGTCGCGCTGCTTGCTCGCTGCTAACCTCGTCGCTCCACTCTGTTCTTAGCCTAAGCCGACAGCGCTTTTGTGATGTGACGAACACTACACTCGCACCAAGGTACGTTTCTAGCCTCGTTACCAACGACGTTATTAAAATGCTTCTAAATAAAAAAAATAATTTTTTGATGTACATATGTTATGTGTTTTCTTAATTCAAAACCAACTGTTTTATGGTGAATCTGAAAAATATGAAATCTCCTTATTACTTTTGGAATTAATTTACCACGACACAAAAATACAAGTGAAGAATAACCTGTAGCTATTATTATAATTATTTTTTACATCAATACCTATTAAAATAAAGCAATTTTTACTACACATACCACAGGAATCATTATTTTTCTTTGTGTTTATAGACACTACAAACACGAACACGAAATGTATTTTAATTCCTCAAACAGTGTACACAGCGAGCCTACAGTAAGCGAAGTAATTTATTGAACAACGAAATTGTAGCCTACACACATTATTAATGCACAAATAACAACAAAATCGGATGCACTAGTTCAATTTGGATACGCTTAAATAAACCAACACAATCGCTTTGTCCTGCAAACTAAACGATCTTTTCATTTTCGTAAATAAATAAAAACTATTAAATTGTAATGATGGTTACTGATACAGGGTGACCTACTTTTTTAAATCAATAATGGAGAAAAATATTAATGACAATTAAGCTTCATTCAGAACCTCGCAATTAGTGGGATAAATTAGTGGTTCCAATTACTGTAGAAGTTTGTTCCTTTAATTTCAATGTAAGCACAAGCATTCAGAACTTAGTGGTTTACATTTCAATTATTAGAAAAAGTTATCAAACTTTTAACTTTTCCCTTAATTATATTTCAAAATTTGCGAGAAATGTCATTTTGGCCTTTGATTATCTTCCACCAAGAGAAATTTTGTTTAGAAATCAAAAGTTGATTGTTTTATAAGCTAAATATTAGGCTTTCTCTATGGATACAACTGACCAACGCAGGATGTTCTATTAATTTTAATTGTGTTTTTTAAACATTGTGAATGATCGTAAACTAGAAAGTATAAAGTGTAATTGAATTAATTATTTACTCCACTAATTGAGAGGTCCTGAATGAAGCTTTAGAAAATGCTATCTTAATTTTAGCAGAATTAAAGCTATTTATGGGCATAGGAACTTTTTTAGAATTTTTGGTAGAAATAATATTCATCATCATCATCATCATCACGCAGCCCTCTTTCACGTCCATAGTTGAACATAGGCCTCCTCCAAACGTCTCCAGTTCTCGCGGTTTTTAGCTGTTGCAATCCAGTTAGTTGTCATTCCTTTCAGGTCGTCGGTCCATCGGGTGGGAGGTCTGCCTTGGCTACGCTTGTCGGCTCTTGGTCTTCACTCTATAAGTCTTTTAGTCCATCTTCCGTCTGCCATTCTAGCAATGTGTCCAGCCCATCTCCACTTTTGTTTTGTGATTCGCTGGATAATGTCATCCACTCCCGTACGTCGGCGTATCTCTTCATTTCTTAGTCGATCTCTCAAAGTCAGGCCAATCGTAGATCTCTCTATCCGCCTCTGTGTCACTCTCAATTTTTCTGCGGTTGCTTTTGTTAGAGTGAGTGTCTCTGCGCCATAGGTCAAAACCGGGAGGATACATTGGTTAAATGTCTTTCTTTTCAGGTGTATTGGGATATTTGCTCTAAAGATGTCCCTCATTTTTCCGTAAGCCGCCCATCCGAAGGTTATTCGTCTAGCCAGTTCACAGGTTTGGTTATCTCTGCTTATTTTGATCTCATGGCCCAAGTATACATATTTGTGGACTAATTCTATTCTGTTGTTGTGAATTTTGTATGTGTTCGCTCGTCACCATATTAGTCATTATCCTTGTCAAAATTTATTGTTAGTCCAATCTCGTTTAATGCATCGTTAAGTTCTTGAAGCATATCTTTGATCTCTCCCAGACTATCTGACACTATAACGATATCATCCGCAAAGCGTAGGTGGTTGAGTCTCTCTCCATCGATAACTATTCCTTTTTGTTACCAAGCCAGCATTTTGAATGCATGCTCAAGAATAAACAATTTTGGCGACATGGTATCGCCCTGCTTAACTCCCCTTTTTATTTTTATCTGGTTAGTTGTGGAATGTAGATTTACAGTTGTTGTAGCATTGTCATATATGTTTTTCATTATGTTACAATATCGATAGTCGATTCTACATTCTTAGCGCTGTTAGGATGGCCGGTAATTCTACCGTATCTAACGCTTTTTTAAAATCGACAAATATCAGTGCTAGGGGTCGATTGTATTCGATGGTTTTTTCTATTAAGGTTTTTAAACACTGCAGATGATCGTTGGTACCAAATTCGGAACGGAAACCAGCTTGCTCTTTAGGTTGGTAGAAGTCCAATTTTGCCTCTAGTCTATTTGTTATAATTCGGGTATATAGTTTATAAAGATGGTTAAGAAGGCTAATTGGTCTGTAATTTTCCAGGTCTGCTATGTCTCCTTTTTTATGTAAGAGGATAATTATTGAGTTATTCCACTTTGTAGGGATATTTTGATTTTCCAGACAGAGATTGAACAGCCGTTGAATATTGGTCATTAATACTGTTCCTCCCATCTTTATCGCTTCTGTGACGACACCATCATCCCCCGGAGCTTTATTGTTCTTCATATTTTTTAGAGCATTGTAAATTTCACTTACAGAGATTTCCGGAACATCCTCAGAACCCTGATTTTGAACCTTTCCTTGTAGGTACTTCCTCGAGTCTAGAGTAGAATGGTTGGTGTATAGTGTTTCATAGAATGTTTCCACAATCTGTAATAAATGTTCTCTATTAGATGTTATATTACCATTTTTGTCCTTGAGTTTGACGATTTCTTTTTTTCCATTAGTGAGCTTGCGTCTCATTATTTTCATGCTCTTATTATCCTCGATAGTTTTAATAATTTTTTCGTTTCTGTGCTTTCTTATGTCTTTTCTGATTTCTCTTGATACTTCCTTATTTAGTTTATTCAAATCACCTTGACTGGCGTGTTCGTCGCTTTTCAATTTCCTTCTTTGTTCCATTTTGCGTTGTGTTTCCAAACTGATCTTTTCCTCCTTCAGATTTGTTGGGCAACATTTCTTTTGGGCTTCCGTTATTGCTTCTACTATTATATCATTTAGGATATTAAAATCGTTTGGTGGTGATATGTTTTGAAGGGTTTGAGTGATGTGGTTTCCGAATTCCTGTATACTTCTCGGGTGTGTCCATGTCTTACTTTGTTTTTTCCTTATCATTTTGTGCCGTTCGTAATTGGTGTTTACTATAATTGTGGCTCTCACCATTCGATGGTCTGCTTGATGGACCTCGCTTGATTTTGCAAATTTATTAAGGACCGTTACATCTCTAAATATGTACCTTTTGTCAGTGATAAAGTAATCGATTTCGTTTTTCGTTCTGCCATCTGGGCTATTCCATGTCCATCTGCGGTGGGGTTTCTTCTGGAAGAAACTGTTCATTTGAAACAAGTTTTTCTCTAATAGGAAATTTAAAAGAGTATCACCACGATCGTTTCGTCCTGGGCTTCCAAAATTGCCTAAGGCAGTTTTTGATGGTTCTAATTTCGTTCCCAATTTGGCATTAAAGTCACCGCATACGACAGTGAAATGTGTATGGTTATTTGAGATAGCTGTACATAAATCATCATAAAAAGTCTCAATCTCCTCGTCTATATGTTCTGTTGTTGGAGCGTAAACTTGAACTACTTTTAGGTTATATCTAGTGTTTATTTTAAAAATGGCCTATATTACTCTAGTGGATACTGAGTGGATGATTTTCAGGCTTTCTGCTAGCCTTTTATTTATAAAAAAAAACTACACCTCCTATTGACTGGTGTTGTTTTCCATTATAGTAAAACAAATGACCAGATTTTAGGGTCTCGAGACCTTCACCTCGTCTCCTGACTTCGCTCATTCCGACAATGTCCCATCTTATCTTTTCCAATTCCTTTTTCATTTCGGTAAAACTTTCTTCAGATAGTAGAGTTCTAGTATTAAAGGTTGCAATTTTGGGAACTGTTGATTTCTTCAGACCTACTCTTGTCAAATTTGTGTCCCCCCCAGAATCCTTGGGACAGTTAGTTTCCGTTGACCTTAGTTTCCGTTTTGTTTTGAAATCTGACATTTGTAAGGGTTTTGGCTAAGAGTACAATGCCGCGCTAGCCGCTGCGTGTTGGCAAGGTTAATTTCAGCCGCCCAATCTGGGAACAGACGCTGTTCGCAGCCGCCCACTCTGGGTCAGTCGCTGCTATTTGTGCGTTCTTTTACGCGTATAGATTCACCATATCTGGCTATCCTCACTTAATTTTGCCTGCAGGTCGGTGAGTTGCCCGGGGTGTGTCGCGTGGAGCCATAAGTGAGAATTGGGTGTCCTGTGAGGACCAGTCATCGCCGACCACTCTCCGACTATGTCGTTGAGTACGGCCGTCCTTGATGAAAGGTACTACCTTTACAGCACAACCCCATACAACCCCTACATAGGAGGGTAATTATTGAATTGTATAATCTAACCTACATAGGAGTGTAATTATTGAAATACCTTTCTAGTTTTCTCTGTGGCTTAATTTTAATTATGAGGACTTTATCACTTTTTTCCTTAGCGAAAATTCTCGAAAATGGGCCCTTTCATAATCTGTTGTAAAAAAATTGACGACTACGGCTTTGATTTGTCTGACCTGGCGGTTAGAAAATTTATTCTATCTGTAAATTTATTGGTTTTGCAAATAATTACTTGAATAAAAAGTCCTGAAATAATGAGATCAATATCATTACAGTTGGGATTGGAAATTTTAGTGTTACAAAAGCAAAATAAGATTTTATTTTGCTCTTTATTTTTGAGATCAATATTAAAAGATCACACAATCAAAATCTCAAATAACAAACATGTCGATTTTAGTGAACAAATATATCTACTTTTTCGTGAAAATTACTAATCTCTTCATCAAAACTATCATGCCATGCTTTGTATGTGAGATCAAAATTGAAAATATTGCCTTTTAAAAGCTCACTCGTATAACGGTTGATCCAGGTCATGCGTGAGCATTTTCAATCGCATGATTTGATGAGTCCAGCGACTAAAACCGTGTTAGTTTTAATATGGACTAACTAAAAACTGGTTTGTATACTATTTTTTACATGACCTTTCATTTGTTTTATCATTACTTTAATATTACGTATAGTTATATATGGGACATCTTATCGAAAATGCAATACAAAACAAGCTTAACGCCTTACAGACAAAAAATACTTAACATTACAGGAGAGCAAAAAAAAACAAAAAGAAAATCTATTTAAAATGTCTAATTTTCCAGTCAAGACTTTCCGAGAAATGAACCCATCACAATGGTATACACATTAATATTTTTAGTATTATTACAAATATTAAAAAAATTATATGATATTCTGTTTTATAAAAGTTTCATTAATAGGATTCAGTATTTAATCAACCTTTTTCCCACAATAACTTTAATCGCGCTTAATATCTATTAACCAGAACAAATTTCCTCACATTATGGTACCAGATATTCCAAACAGACTACTCTAAATACCGAGATAAGAAAAACGCACAAGAAAAATCTCAGCCCGAACAGTACAGCGATTTCTTTTATATCCGGACCGGTCGTAACTCGCAGTCGAGTGTGTCTACTTGACTTAATAATTATTTTTCTTAATTAAAAACGTTATAAAAACGCACCGACAATTCTCATAGGCCCGTTGATACAACACTAATCGCGGAACTATCTGCCCTCGAGATCTCGGTTCCCAGGAAAATTTCATAGAAACAGTGGTACCAACCTTATCATTGTGTTTGGTAAGTAAACACAAGTGCTCTTTTTCGTTTATATTATAGTATAATAAAATTAATAAAATCATGCACAGTATCCTTAAACAGTACGTCCTAAATTGTTTATTGCTTATACCATTATTTAAGTGAACATATTTTAGGAAAATATGTACACTTGTATAGGATGAGTCGAATATAGAGTAATTTCATTATGATATTTACTATAAAAATTATAAGAAATGTTTAATATTTAATTTTTATGGAAGGTTAAAATACTGTAATGTACAATAAGATATTTTTGAGTAGACAGAGTAGCTCAAGAAAGTGTAGCGAATAAAACATATTATGTTGTTTTTAAATGCACCCTTCGTCAAAATGCGATTTTACTTAAAACTCTATAAGTTTTTATATATAATGTCATATACCTAAAACTAATATTTCTGTAATAATTATTTCTATTTGTTTAAAAACATAGATTTTAGTATGATACCAAGTTGTCAGTTGGAGTAGTCAAATTTCGTTAGAGAATTTTTTAGAGATATATATTAAAGTTTAATGTTGCTTAACTGTAACATTTTTGTGTTTCTGGAGTAGGCCATTCGAATCTCCATTGGTAATACAAAACACACTTAGCGGCTGTTAGTTTATATATTTATTTATTTAATATACACCATTCAACACCAAAGATAATAATTACTGAATGGATCGTACTGCATCAATTGCAAATTACAAATGAACAAATTCAGAGATCACAAAATAAGTAATTATAATAAAAGCTAAAAAACAAAACATACACAAAAGTAAAAACAAACTGCCAAAACAAGAACAATCAACAAAACAAAATTGACAAAAAAAATGATAAAAAAAATGATAATTAAAGGTAGAAAATTGGAATCTGAAATATATCCAAACTGCTCTGACGTTGATTGTAAGATAGTTGAATTCTATTAACTGGTGAATTTTTGTTAATATTAGTCCTACCAGCGTCTACATAAAATATACTCAAGTGCCGAGCTACTGCTATCTAAACAAAAATGTTCAACCTATTGAGAATATCTGAGCAGTCTATTTTATCATGAATATAACACCATATAGCGCCTTAATGTCAAATATTCCGCGGCGATCCATGAAAGAATAAAACGAATGACGTTCCAAGAATTCATCATGAGGGTAGCCTATACAAGGATAATTTCCATCTATTTTAAAACTAAGAAACTTCAGAAACCGTCACTGGACACTTTCGATGTTATTTATATGTGGCTGGTAACATGGTGACCATATAACAGATGCGTACTCCAACTTAGACCTGACAAATTTAAAATATAATAGCTTAAGTGCCTCAGGGCTGGGAAATTATTTTGCGTTTCTAATAAGAAAGCCCAAGGCTCTAAAAGACCGCTGTACAATCTCCGATATGTGTGGTATAAAAGACAGCCTACAATCGAACACAACTCCCAAATCACTTCCAAATTTCCACCTCATTTCACGTCGGATTTCTTCGTTATATAATAAATATTTATGCAAAATTGGGTTTTGTTTTATGCTGTATTCCGAAAGATGTCGACAAGCTCCTTGACAATACGTAGTTATGACAATTTCAATCGTCAAATACCTAATTTTTTAAATAATTTCCACGATAAGAAGTCACTGAACAACATAATAAAATTATGAACTTCTTCTCAGGTTGTCTATTTCGGCTGCTGCCTCCCTTCGCTAAAGATCAAAGTTTAGCACCCAAAACTCAGATCCGTAAAACTGTATTGACTCCACGGATGTTCGACCAAATCGTTTTTTTCTGGATTCTATCGAGAGATGTTGATCCCATCAAAGACTATTGGGGCACCCTACGACTCTCTTACATTTTGAATTCTAGTCTTTGCTTCTTCTGCACTCAGCTACTCTCTATTTATTATAGTACCTACATAGTATCATCATTTATAAGGACTTCAAAATTAGTATCGGTTTTAACTGCCAGATATTTGTAACTGTAGACCCAATTGGGAATATTAGTCGTAGGTCGTCTTGTGCCGAAACGACTAGATCGTTAGCGATGATCAATGAACAAAGGCACTCTTTATTGATCGGTTTACCCATACTTACTACACATTTAGAAATACATTTCAAATTTTTAGAAATATTTTTTTGTAAATAAATAGAAAAAGCTTTCGAAACTATAGTTAGAATTTTGATATTAGCTAATTCGATAATATATTAGAATTTATTTTCGAAAAGCACCACACGAAAATGAAATTTACTAATACTAATTGCAAAATGTTATTTATTGTTTTTGTGAGCCTGCTTCACTAATTACGAATAAAATTAATTATATTATTAGATTTATGTTAACCTTTACAATTATCATATTAAAACATTTCCATATAGAATTAGTTCGTTAAGCATTTGGATATGAAATATTGATAATAGTATAGTAAATTAAAGTTGATTTTGCATAAAAACAGAAAATTATAAATTATTTCAGTAATGCAAAATTCAGAACGGTAAATTATTTTGGGATTAACAATATAAACAAAAAATGATAAATAATAAATGTCGATTATTTCGAATAATTGTTTTTTATCGGTTAGGAAAAAAAACGTAAAATCTGAAACGTTCATATAGACAATAGGTACCGTATGATCGAAAAAAACGGCGTCCAGTTGGCTGGGAGATGACGATCGATGACATTTCCCATATAAATTTAGATATAAAATGACAGCGATCTTCATTTTCATAGCCATCGCTGACGCCGTTTTCTTTTCGATCATACGGTAGATTCCAATAGACTAATAATATTCTCTTCATATTGTGTGAGACGATTACACTGGGTCAGAATATGTGGAAGAAAATGTATTGGTACAAAACAGAATGTAGCTCCGCCTTGAGGAGATAGCTTTTGATCATTTTATACAATCATGACATAGAGCTGAGGAATTTTGATATCGAAAGAAGAATTCATAAGAGGACTCCAAGTAGTATGATCTATGGAGCCATATATTCTTGGAATAACAAATAGGGATCACAAGAATGGATAAGAGTGAGGACTCAGATATCGAGATTTATCCTAGAGCCAACGATCTAACGGGCAGAAGATTAAGCGGTTAAGCAGATTCAAATTTAAAATTACTTTCGCATTACTATGCTTGCTACTTAACTAATAAAATGTTTGATCTTTTTAACTACACAGTTGAATCTCACTTGCAGTTAAGATATTTCTCGTTAACACGGAATAATAGCGCAGCAATTACTAGATCAATCAACGTGTTAAGTGTAAGTTCTTGATATTTGTACGGTTGAACCGAAGAGCCTTTATTACAGAAAAAGAGTTTAAAATCTGTTGACATTGCTCACTTACAACGAACTAGACACATGTCATATCAGTCGATTTAGACACATGTGAGTCTCGCTTAAGCAACCTGACTGAATAAGTGATATTGAAAGACGGGAACAGCGCTTGATTCAAATTTCTTTTTTCTAGTTGAATATATTAAAGAGTATAGTCTGTGAAACGAATAACTTTGAATTTGACAGTTTCCGCGGGCTTTTCTAGAGTTAATTTTATTAGGTTAGCAACTTGCAGCCATGCTGACGCAATGTCGTCTCTAATAGAACAGCCTCGGAGCTAGATTTATGACGTCACGCTACTTAAATACTACGGATTAATAAATAAATACACGGAAAACATACTAATTCCTCGTATTTTT